TATGAAATAGTATTCTATTAATAAAAGAAATGTTTTTCACTCATTTGAAAGTTGATTTTATTCCTAAGTATATTCGCGCGCGTGTATAGGGAAACTCTCTACAAGTAGTGAAAACAGAGTGGATAAAGTCGACTCATAAGACTATACATATACGTATATATGTATAACATTTACTCAGTTACCATTAAACAATACGATACTTGTCAATACTGAGTTAACTTTTTCTCTAAAATATTTCAAGATTTTCTAAACTATTTTAATTGGAGAACTTTAGAAAATGTATAGAAGGATAAGATTTTGTGAAATTCAAAATTAGAAGTTTTCACAAAACTTGCAATACAAAAGTTGTAGACTAGGGTGGTAGGCACCGAATGGTGCAAAAATCAATCCAAAATCTCACCAGAAAAAGGATTGGGAGCAGTTTTACTGTGAGAGGGTCCGAAACGTTCTTATTTCCCGCAAGTGGGAAATTAGAACGTTTGCTGTGTCTGCATGGGGTAAATGGAACGCATCTACCAAAACACACGAAATTCTTTCACAAACGTATTTTGACTTTGGTAATCGTGCTTTCAGGTATATTGAAACACACACTAGACATGAAATGTAGCAGATATTCACCTCTACCCACCTATGTAGATTAAAAGTCTAATGTACCATAAGATCTCAAGATAGTTTATCCGCCACATATGAGACTCTAATTTCAAAAAAATTCTGTGCGTTCCTATTTCCCACAAGTGGGAAATTAGAACGTTTGCTGTGTCTGCATGGGGTAAATGGAACTGGTTGAGCACCATACGATTTGGAATCATTCAATATTTTATTACAACATGTGTTACATCTATCAATACTGTTGCTCGATCCTATGACATCATATCCAAAAGTGTTAGCTGTGTCTGTTAGCTGTGTTAGCTGTGAACGTTTGCTATGTCTGCATGGGGTAAATGGAACACATCTACTAAAAGTAATGGGATTTTCTTCAAAATGTATTTTCTATTTTATATCTCGGTTTCACTGCATGGGGTTTTTTTTTTATTATACATAATACAAGACTGATATTTGATAGACAACGCAGTATAATGACAGGAGAGATAAATTTATATTTTTGTGAATATACAGGCTAGAATGACGTAAAGAAAATCGTCTGTTCTTTTTTTGTTGTTGTTGTTGCACTTCACTTAACAAAGAGAATGTGTAAGATTTACTAGTCTAGCTGCTGTTATGTCTTAAAATTTATTTTTTAAACGCTATTGAATTGTTGATCAAGTATGGTACGTAATTATAAGAAAAAAATTTTAGACAGCAGTATGACAGCAAAACATTAGAAGAAGCTGTTGATCTTGTAAAAAATGGGCTACTCGATGCGGTAGCTGCTAGTAAAAGATTTGGAATACCTGCTTCTACGATTCGGAAATATAAATTGTACAATTGTTCCGTTGGTGCTGGACGAGAAACAGCTTTAACGCATGAACAAGAAGATACCATAGTCAAAATTCTAGTAGCTTATGACGAATGGGGCTATCCAAGATCACGTCGTGAAACATTGGATTTAGTAAAAAAATTTGTACAAGAAATGGGTTTATCAAAAAAGTTCACCCACGGTAGTCCCGGCGTTGAATGGTTAAGATTATTTTTAACACGTTGGAAAACTGAGCTAACAAGTACAAGTATCAATCTGGAAAAACGTCGAGCCGTATGCTTAACAAGGCAACGTGTTGATGCATAGTTTCAGACTTTTGAGCAAATAGTTGATCAACTAGATGTAAGAGATCGCCCTTCTCAGATTTTTAATGTGGATGAAACAGGTTTTCTGGACGATCCAGGAAAGAAAACAGTAATTGTGAAAAACAAACGAAGACGACCTCCATACAGAATTCGCATTGGAACAGCTAAACAAAACACGACGACCTTATTTTGCGTTAGTGCTGGTGGTCAATGTTTGCCTCCATGCATTATTTACAAGGCAAAGACGTTACGAAGAGCCTGGTGCTCGGGTGGTATTGCTGGTACTTGCTATAATGCAAATGAAAGTGGCTGGATAAATGAAATAGCTTTTTTGCAATGGTTAAAAAAGTGTTTTATTCCAAATACATCAAGTTTACCTCGTCCATTACTTCTTCTACTTGATGGACATACTTCTCATCAATCGTATCCGATTTCTTCACTAGCAAAAGAACACAACATTCACTTACTTTGTCTTCCGTCTCATACAACT